ACTTACACGTATGCACTTACACTTACTTATACACTTACACTTGGAATTACTTACTTACACACTTTCACTTACTTACTTAGACTTACACTTACTTACTTACTTACATTTACTTAGTTATTTACACTTACTTACTTAATTCTCTTTCATTCCAGCTCCACACTTTCTTACTTACACTTACTTACTTACTTACACTTACTTACTTACACTTACACACTTACACTCTTACATTTGTACACTTACACTTGCACTTACTTACACACTTACATTTACTTACTTACTTCCATCTGTTCAATTCCAGCTCCACACTTACTTACTTACATCTGTTCCATCCAAATAAAAAGGCTGAACAAGAAGCCTTCCAGAGGTTTGCTGCCTCTGTTTACCTTTGCCTCCAAAGTAACACTTCATTTTACTTTCTCCTTTTCATTTTTACATTACCTAAACCCTGAACTTTATTTTTACCAGCTGGAGTTATCCTTTATACTTACATTCTAGAGACTCTTTTGCTACAGCTCCCTGCATCATGCCCTCTATTTCCAATGAACAATAATTGTGAAACTGAGATCGTGACCTTTATCTTTACCCTTTTGAGCTACAAAATTTGGTGTCACTCCCTGGCTGTAATCACCTTCTGTTGCATTGTTGTATTTTCCCCACGTGTGTTGTCAGTGAATAACAGCTTCTCTACCCTCCCCTCTCACCCTATCCCCGCACACAGACTCTGTGTTCTTGCTTAATGTCATCCTTTCGATTTCTGCTCTGCACTGTCAGCTGGGCCTCCTCCAGCAGCTCTCCTGGCTTTACCACATCACTTTGTTTTTCTTTAACATACCATAACACCATATTCATGAGCATCTCACTGATAAGTTTGTCTATGATCTATCAATGGTATCAGCTTCATTTTGCACTTTCAAACATACCTTTCCCTGCTTTCTGTGATGATATTTTCATTCCCTAAAGAAGTTCTGGAAAGATCTGTAGAATTATTATAGTTTTCTTTACTAGAATAGGAAAATCCTAGCCTCTGACCATTCTGCTAATATTACCTGTGGGTCTCAGATTCAGTCAAAGAGAGAAACGAGAGTTTCTAGCCAGGCAGAAGCTTGGGAAAGAGCTTGAGAAGAATGTAAATAATTCTTTATCTCTCTTGTTGTTCACATTGTTTATAGTTAAGTTCTATCACTGTGTGTCAAGCACTCTGCACCAATGCTGTAGCTTGTTTTCACTTCAGAACCGATGGAGTTGGTCCTCATGAAGCTCTGTATAAAAGAGCAGTGTATTTTGAATAAACCAGAGTTTTACTCTCAGCAGCCTTCTGATCAGTCTTCTCATTCCCGTCCTGCCTCGACAGTGACAATTACCCAGCTTATTTCTATTTATTTTCCTCTTTTCCAGCATTGCCACTTGTCCTAAACTTAGCAAGAGCTGTTTAGTACACCTCTAAATTTACACACTGCTCAACAGATCTTCTGATCCTTGGCTTTAATTTAAGATTATTGTAAACCAATGGTATCCAATAATTGAATTTTAGAATGTTTTGTTGAAGGTGATGGAATTTTAATCCTCTTCAAAAAAGAGCATACACAAACTAGTTATACAATGGCTATAAAATAAATTAATCATTCAGCAGAATTGAACAAAAGATGCTAAATTTTTCACCCATTTTCAGATAAAAAATGTCTGAACCCTACGGATTTTTCTATTCATAGTCACCTAGTATTTTATCTCTCCTTAGTCAGAGACAAATCAACAATGGGCTTTGGAAGGTTTCATAATAAAACATCAATAAGAAACTATTATGCTACAGATAAATATGGGAAGGAGGTAGACAAAACTGGGCAGATAACATTTGCAATTCATTGGAATTAGCTTTGTCTCCTGTTAACATTTCTCATCCTAGTTTGCAACAAAGGCTCCAGTTTAGCATTTAGAAGATGAACCACCCCCCCTTCCTTCCTCTCTTCATTCCCCAAACCAGAAACAAAATGCCCAACTTGATAAAAAGATTAGTTGTCTGTTGCAGAGTCCAAAAAATCCCTAAATTTCTCTTTGGAATTTTTCTTTACTCTAAAAGAGCCAAGCAATTAAAAACATAATTATGCATATGCGTAAACCCTAAAGAGGACATTTTCAGATTTTCTAGCTTGACTTAGTCTACCAAGATGCACATTTTTAGGGCACATATAAATGTGTTGGGTAAGAATGTGAGAACAATGTGACATTTTTAAAGTACTTTCCAAATGTTTTTCTTACATACATGAAGATGTAGCCCTGTTTCCTAAGAAACGGATTGTAACAGTAGCCTAAAAGAGGAAAACATCTCTCCTCTCAGGGCTAGACTATTAAAAGCTAAAAAAGGCAGTTTTGTCAACATGACAGCATTAAACTTTTTAATACTAAGCACAAAGCAGAAGAAAATAAGGGTTATAGGGCTTTGGCACGATACATGAAATACCAAAAAATATTGCCTCAGCCTTTTCACATTCCATTCAAATACCAAATATTCAGAAAACTAATTTTCTGTATTACCACACCTTTTACTATAAAGATTGTACTATTTCTGGCAGCACCCACATAGCAAACTCAACAGATACCGTACCTAAATTTAGGCCAGATTTCAGACTTTAATATCTGGTCACTTAAGAAGTGTTTTTGGTCATGTAAAAGATAGATATTTGGTGTTAATGTCTTCAGGAGTTGGATGATGAGAGAAATTTAGGCTGTGGCAAGAGTTTTGGACCTTCATCCTGCCCAGCTGATCTATGGAAAGATTTTAGTGTTCTAAATTCTAGTCATTATCTCAGCCAAATGGCATGATAGTTGCCAAGAATACCTAAAGTCTATGAAAAGTAAAACTTTGGGGGAAAAAAAGACAGGACATGAAAGTTTGGTCTACTATAAAACTTACCAGGCTGTTTATTTGGAAGCACAATAAGTTGCTAGGTGACATAATGGAGCAAAAGTCCTTGAATTGCCAGGTCCTGTATATATTATGACCGATATTATTTTCTAAATGGAAGAAAGTGACAACGGTAGAGGGAGATGATTCATTTTCATGTTTTATTACTTCAGAAGGCAATGCCTGACCTTTTTTAAACATGGAATTGCCAGATCCTACAAGTTATACTGTCATATAATTATTTCAAGTCTATAGGTTGCTTGTGTAGTGTGGTGCACTTCCTCAAATCCTGGAGCTGAAGAAAATTGACACATCTTTGAGGTATAACATAAATGCAAATGCTGAAAATTCCCCAAGTAAAAAGTAATTTCCCAGGGAATACAGGAAAATTTCAATTTAAACATCATAATTATTTCACAGTTCTGGAACTGAAGTTATTTATGCTTCCCTCCCAAATCCCGGTCTCTTAGTCTAAATTAATTGAACACTGTATGTTCTGCTTCCTTCTTGTCTGCAGTTGTTTCCCTACCTGTAGTCACTTCTAACATTACCTTCAATGTCCCCATCCCTACTGACAAGAGACAATTTTTTTTCAGCATTTTGGAGCAATGCTGAGAAGATAATTACTATTTATTCCATTATCCCATTGCAATGTCCTGTTTTTCTTTCACTCTTTATTAAATCACCAAGTAATATTTTCCATTTGTTTTCATTTTTACTCTTTTGACTTTTTGCAATTGACTTTAGATGGTGATCAACATTTTTGTATTTTATTCCCTGAAGGCTCACTACTTATGCCTCATACATTTTCCGAGACAGTTATTTGCTCCTCTGAGAGCGAAAACCTTTTCCCTACTATTTCTCCTATTTGGGATACAAGTTTAACATACTTTTACCATATCTGAGTTAGAGAAAGTTCTCTCCTTCTCCATATCAAGTCCCTGACTTTTCTACTTAATTAGTGTGCTTGCAATCACAGTAATCTGGTCCCTGCCACTATATCCCACCAAAACTAAGGCCAAAATAATAATTACTAAGGCCAAAATCCTGTTGTTTGTGTGTCTCTTTAGTAAACACTTCACAGAATAAAGGCGTTCTGCTCTTACTGCTTTCTAAGTTTAAATGCAAGATGTTGTAGTAAGACAACATCTTTTTCCACTCGAAATTTTGGTTTTCTCACAACCATTTTCATATTCGAATTAAGAAGTCGATATCCTCAGTGCTCGTAATGTTGGTATTTCTCTCCTTAGTGTTTCAACTGCATAACGGCAAAAGGCCTTTCCTGGGAAGGGTGGGCACGGGTGGGCTGATCCTGCGGGCAGACAGGTGGGGGATGCCCGGAGCGATCCCTTCGCTCACAGCCGGGGAAGAAAATAAAAAAAAAAAAAGAAAATCCAATGAGTTGTCATAGTTACTCACAGCCGGGGCCGGGCACCTCAGCCGGGGCCGTGTGAGGGCGGTGCGTGCCCGGGGCCGTGCCCGGTTACCGTGGGAGGGCGGTGCGTGCCCGGGGCCGTGCCCGGTTACCGTGTGAGGGCGGTGCGTGCCCGGGGCCGTGCCCGGGGCCGTGCCCGGTTACCGAGTAAGGGCGGTGCGTGCCCGGGGCGGTGCCCGGGGCCATGTGAGGACGGTGCGTGCCCGGGGCCGTGCCCGGGGATGTGTAAGGGCGGTGCGTGCCCGGGGCCGTGCCCGGTTACAGTGTGAGGGCGGTGCGTGCCCGGGGCCGTGCCCGGGGCCGTGCCCGGTTACCGTGTGAGGGCGGTGCGTGCCCCGGGCCGTGCCCGGTTTCCGTGTGAGTGCGGTGCGTGCCCCGGGCCGTGCCCGGTTACCGTGTGAGGGCGGTGCGTGCCCGGTTACCGTGTGTGGGCGGTGCGTGCCCGGGGCCGTGCCCGGTTACCGTGTGTGGGCGGTGCGTGCCCGGGGCCGTGCCCGGTTACCGTGTGTGGGCGGTGCGTGCCCGGGGCCGTGCCCGGTTACCGTGTAGGGCGGTGCGTGCCCGGGGCCGTGCCCGGTTACCGTGTAGGGCGGTGCGTGCCCGGGGCCGTGCCCGGTTACCGTGGGAGGGCGGTGCGTGCCCCGGGCCGTGTGAGGGCGGTGCGTGCCCGGGGCCGTGCCCGGTTACCGTTGCCGGGGCCCGGCGGTGGCGGTGGCGGCGATGGTGAAGGAGACGATCCGGGTGTACGCGCGGGTGAAGCCGCTGGGCAGGCGGCAGCAGGCGGGGGTAGGCTGGGACTGTGCCCCGGGGATGCGCTGGGGCAGCCGGGGAGAGCCAAGGGCTGCCCCGGGACCCGCGTTCCCCGCTCAGGTGGGGCAGCGGGGCAGAGCCCATCCCCTTTACTAGGGGCGGGTGGGTGTGCGGCGAGACGCTCCTGGTGTCCGAAGCCTTAGGAAGTCCGTAAAATCACGAAGCGGGGGAATTTGGGCTGCAACTCTTGGGTGAGTGGCTGAGGAACTTCCTCAGCCGCTGTTGCAGAAAGGCTCTGCTTTTCTGTAAAAAAAAAAAAAAAAAAAAAACCAACAACAAAAAAAAAAAAAAAAAAAACAAACAAAAAACAAAAAACACGTTTTTTTCAAGGAAAACGCTGGACACGCGTCACTGGGTTTGTGCAGTTCAGCAGCGTTCTGAGCAAGGGAGGGGAATGTGTTCCTCCAAGTGTACAGCTGCCCTCCCAAGGCATAATAAAGATAATGAAAGTGTTCCTCAGCAACTGCTCATTTAGGTCTCTTAATTACTTTCTTGTTTTAAACCAGCTTTTCTCATTGCAACCTTAGTCTTCTTGTAGCCTCTCCTAATATATTCTTCCAGATATTTTGGAGAGGTTTGCACTGGAGGCCGTGCTTTGTTTTTTTGTAACATCACAGATATTAAAGTGGTTTAGTAAGCAAATTATGTCAAAGAGGCAATGGTTTTGTTTCAAGTGTTATTGTCGTGTTTACGTGGTGACAGGATAATGCTGTTATGTGCTGGTTTTGTTGTGTAGTAGTTACGGGAGATCTGCTCACGTATTTAGTGCCATTGGTAACAAGTTTTTCTCCAGACAATTAGAGGTGCTGAGCTTAGATAAATGTTACATCTAAGGGTAATGCTGTTCTATTGATGAAGATATTCTGTGAATTCATATCCATCCTTTTTAGAGTTACTCAGTTGATAATGAGGAACCTCTGCCCAGTCTGGAGATTACTGTGCCACGTGACTTAGGAGATGGGTTCATCAACAATAAACGAGAAAGCTACAAGTTCAAGTGAGTAGAAGCCTTACTTTTGTACCTTCTGCCTTTAGTGACTGACAATGCTATGTGTAATGATACAGATATATAGAATAGGGAAAAGTCTAACTTCAAAATTAAATTATACTTTGGATGGGTTTATTTTTATATAATTCCCTTACCAAGAGGAATACTTCAGGATACACTCTTCACTACAATGGATCTGATAGCATTGGATAAAATTGTCATACTATTGTCTGTCCATTGCAAGTCATTATACATTTCTAAATCTCATCTCAAAGATTCATTTATCAGTTCTTCTATTTTTGTGCTTTGTTTTGAATTTGTGTATGAAAACTGAATTGGGACTGTGTGTTTTCTTGTGATCTAATGAGTTGTCATAGTCTGGCTAAAAAAGTCTTGATGTAAAACATTCTGTTTGGAAGCTGTGTTTCAGACATAGCCAAAGCAAAGTAAAGAAAACCAGAAACTGTTGACAGAAATAAATCCTTGGTTTGAGAGGGTAAATATTTTTAGGAACTTAAAATCAATACAGCAATATCAAATGTTTTTATTAGTTTAACAGGAAAGTGAGGCAACACTTTAAAATTTTGTTGATGAATAAAGCTAGCTATATAATCTCTTCTGATGAGGTCAAGACTGTCTTTTTCCAATTTGGATATGCTTCATTTTTTTATAGTAAACAAGTAATTTGTTTCTCTATGCTATTAAAAAAGAGAGCTCCACATAAACAACTGCAGTTCAGACTGATGTAGTTGTACATCAGCTAAAGTAACCTGCTTGAAAAGAGAGAAGCTGTCCTCTCCAAATAGATTTGTATGCAACACTACCTTAGTCTGTAGATGCCCAAGCCTGACTTTATGAATGCTGACATTGTTGTCTGACTTTATAATTTATTAAAAACTCTGTAGAGATGCATTTTGAGAAACCCTATGCCCTATTATCCTTAAGATGATACAAGAATAATTGAGTTACTTGGCTGATTAGCAGGATAGAAGAAATGTTTAATGTATTTCGTTTGTCTGTGGTACTGCACCCACTGCATGGGTCAGCACGGTGCCTTTCTACACACTCAGTGCCTCTAAGGCCTTCCTTCCTACACACCCTGGGAAGTTCTGTGCAAGAATAGAGTTCCAAACATGGGGACAACACAGCAGGACACCAGCAGTACAGGGGGCTGCTGGAACATGTGGATGACACCTTTCTAACATACAGTTAAGCCAGTCTGGATATTTGCAAACATGGGCAAGGTGCTGAGAGATATTAAGCCTGGAGGCAGCTTTGACTGCAGTGGCCATGAGGTAATAAAATTAAGGATACTGAGAGAAGGGAGTAAGGCAAAAAGCAGGATCACAACCCTGGGCTTCATAAATACAGACTTTGGCTTGTTCATTGATCTGCTTAAAAGAATTCTGAGATACATTCCTGGAGAGATGACCAGGAAAACTGGCTGATTTTCAAGATCACCTTTTCCAAGCTCAAGAAGACTCCATCCACATGAACAGAAATGATGCAGAGGCAGCAGGAGGATTGGAACCAATGGTCCCTTCCAACCTCAAGAATTCTGATTCTGTAAAATAACTGAAGATATTTTATATAGAAAATGACAAAACATATTTAATTAAATATCTCATAGTGACCTATAGTAATTGTGTAGCAGAATGAAGGAAATGGCTTGAAAAAATGTGAGCCTGGCTGTAATAGTGGGATGCTGTATTTGGTTATAGTGTAATCTATTTATCCAGGATTCAGTGTGGTGCCAGTTACAAACACTAATTCTCTTGATAGATTTAAACGAGGGTTTACTTCTTTCTAAGCCACATCATTTTATCAGAGGATTTTATTGTACAAATCGTGTCAAAGCAGCTCTGTGTACAGCCTATTTATGTACAATAGCACAAGAGCAAGCTGTGGTTAAGACTACAGGGAAAACATTGTACTAAGTTATGTAAGCCTAATGATGTAAACATTGACTATTACGAACACAAACAAAAAATGTATGAATCGAGTACTGTTTTAACATTCTAAGCAATTATTATTTGCTTAATATTTTCAGATTTCAGAAAATTTTTGATCAAGAGGCAAAACAAGATGTGATTTTTGACAGCATTGCCAAACCAGTAGCAGAATGGTATGTTGTTGATCCTGCAAGTAACCAGGGAAAAGCTATTTTTGCTTTTGTTGTATTACTTGAAGGAGAGCTGTCAAGTCTTTGTCTTCTTGTTGTAAAAGTGGATTGATGTTCTAATTTACTAAATACTGACATGTCTGAATCCAGGAGATACTCAATCCCCTAAGAATGTTATGCATACTAAGATTCCTTTTTTGACTCTTCAAGTAGCAATGCTAGTCTCTTTTGTTGTATAGTGATAGAAATCCATGCCCAATTCTTTTTTTTTTTTTGTCTGTAATATAAGCTGACTTCATGGCCTTAGAATAGTATTTTTTATGTAGTCTAACGTAGAAATAACATAATGCAAATTTTATTCCCTCCATATAATTTTCATTAAGCTAGGGACTCTCATAAATGTTTGTGGAGATATTCCTAAGTCTTGTCATTACTTGTGTTTTGACATGTAAGGCAATGCTTTTGGCACTTTTTTTTCCCTCCTCCATTTTCATAAGCAAACAATGCCCATATCTGACAGTTTGCAGAGGCAGATATTTAAGATTGATGAAGACTTCTGCATTCATTCTGTGGATTGAATGCCACTCTGAAACAGGTGGATTTTTCAATGGAAAATGGATTTTATGCCATTCTCTTTGCTTAGTTTACTGTCTGTGTTGCTGAATTTTGTACTGATTTTAGTGGGGGAGAAAATCCCATGCAGGAGGAAGCAGAATTTCTGCATAGGGTTTGCTTGTTTATCAAATTTACTGCTCAAAATCCAGATTCCCAATTCACTGTAGTGAGTTGGGAAGTATTTTTTCAAGTGCCAACTTCTTTCTCATTCATTGTCTGACCCATCTGTTGGTTTAAGTAATGATTCTGCAAGTTATTTCCCAATCTATTGCACAGTCTCCTGCTTAGCACTGTAAGAAAACAACTTCAGCTGGACACTAAACCTTTCTCACGTTGTTACAAGGAAGAAAAATATATCTCTATATTTTTATTTTCTTTCTCCCCACCTCTCCTGTTTTTTTTCTCTAAAGTGCCACATAAAGCAGAAATGTAATTGACTGTGAAAATGAAAAGCCAGTGCATTTGAAATTTCATCAGAATAAGCTAAATAGGCTTAAAAATAATGCTATTGTTTTAAATAATGCTATTGTTATAAAAATAATGCTAATGTTATTTTCTCATCGAAAAGATATTTCTTTGCTTATCTGACATTATCACATAGCTTCACATTTAACTCATGCACTTAATTTTAAGTATTTCTGGGTTTAATGTTGACTGCAGAAAAAAATCGTTATCAAATTTGAGTGTGTTTGGAAAGAGAAGCGTTAAAAGTCTCATTATGTTCTATGGGGTTATCCTCAACAAAAGGTCAGCATATCAAAATTAACTAGTTAGAAACTGGCTACTTTTTTTCCCTTTGGAGTGTTTTGCTAGAATATGGAAATATTTTCCAGTTGAACAGATCACCTATAAAATGCTCTAATAAACAGGAAGGGGTATTCTTCTCCTTTATTTCAGTGTTAGCTGATAAAAGACTTGTTTTATATATTAATTTTCTCCATTATGTAGGCTTTAGTTTCAGGATTTAGATTCTTTAAGTACTTGAAATTACTTTAATGCTATTAAAACCAATGGTGTTTAGGCTGACAACTATCTCTAAATAGCCAAGTCTTTTTCTGTAATGCTAAAATTGACTTATAAAATCGTTCTTAATGAAATCAAGATTATTTCTGAGTGTTATAATGAGGCAAAGCTTGTACTCTAAATTATGCTTGTGTTGTTACTGGTAATTTTACTTGTGTTTTTATAATCGAGTAGACAATAACTGAAGTATGTTTATTTTTTATCCACCTCATTAATTTTTTACCTCTTTGTAGGCAAAAATATAGATTTCAAAATATATTCAGAGTAATGAAGTTCCTTGGCTAATGGAGTCATGAACTGGGCCTGAAATTGTTTCACTCTGTGGTTAATGATAGCATTTTCTTCCATTCTTTCCATGGAAAGAATAAGAATTGCCTTGTTTCTCTTAGACCACAGTTTTTCATAGTAAAATGTCCTTCGTTATTTATTTCTTCCACAGTCAATATTCTCTTTCATGAAAAAGTTGTTGCAAGTACACACATTTCTGTTGTTGGAATCACTTTGCTAAGGGAACAGTTTTTGTCTGTGTATTGCCACTGAGAAGAAAGTAGCAGGAAAATATCAATGAAATAGTTCAGTAACATTTTGAGGTTCTTTGTCATGCATTCTTACAGTCCTGAGAAAATTCAGTTAGAGACTTGAATGCTTAGGAAAAAAAAAAAAAAAATCTTGGGCATTGTTTAAATTAAAACCAGAAAGGCAATGCTCAGGATTCTAAAATCTTTCTATTTTGTTCTTGGATGGAAACTGGATGCAACTTTCTTTTCTCTTTTTCTATTTTTTTTTTCTTTTTAACTATGTTTTCTTTGATGTTGGGCCACTACTTCTCTTTCTGTAAGTCCAGTTACATTGTCAACTTGCCTGTGGTTTCAGAGGCACCAGACATTAGTTTATTTAATTTGCTTCTTCAGTCAAAAATGCCAGCCTCTGCAAACCATTACAAGCATATGACTTGCTTGAACTTTAGTTTTTTTCTATCCTTGAGTAATCTCTTACATTGTTTCTTTTCCTTCTAATTTTAAATATATATTCTTGATAATGTTTTTGTGCAAAGTTTAGAAGTAGCACTAAAGCTGTTACTGCATCAAAACCAGAGAAAATAAATCACGCCCTGCTTTAAAAGTTTGCTAATGATTAAGCATTGCTGTAGCCTTACAACTAAACAAGTCTGCTCTCAAAATATTTCAAATATTAGTGTATGATTATGTATGCAATCAAAATTAAATATAAAATGTTAACTATTTTGAATTAGTTGAGTTTTCAGTTCTAATATGAACTGAAAACTCAATGTTTTGGTATTAGATTTCTTAAATAATAAGGTTTTCTTAAAGAATAACATTTGAAAATATTTTCTCTTCAGTTGTCTCATGCAAATAAGAAATAGCTCAGCTGTTTATAAACCAAATGTAAATCACCTGTGGTCTTTTGAAAAATCTGATGGCCTTGGGCATAATGCTCCCATTTCTGCAGGTTCTGGTTTCTTCTCATGTGCTGTATTTATCCTAAGAATTAGCATTTATAATATATAAACTACTTCAGCTTACTCTCAACTGGTTTTGTGGGGGTCTTTTTCTGCTGTGTATTCTTAGAAAAAATGTAGTAAAAATATTTTTATTAAAAATTATTCATTTTGCACCTTGATATGTTTGTCACACAATGTTGAAAGTAGTGATCTGCCTCACCTGCCTCACCAAGACCTGTAGAATCTATATAGAGCAAAAGGACACATTATTTCAGGTGTCAGCTTGAAAGAAATATAGCCTAAACTCTCCTCTAATTGAGAAATTAGCAATGCTAGCTGTTCTTTCTCAAAGTGAGTACAATTATGAGGCAATAAAAAGTGAGAAGTGTCATTGATGTTTCTTCTCAAATTATTATTAGTTGCTTGTTTTGACATAAATTGTGCATTTTAGAATTGTTCAAGAAGGTTGCTTAATTTAAGTTACGGTTTGACAGCTTTGATTTAGAATGTCTTTGTGTCACTTATCTGTTACAGTGTTTATAATTTGAAATATATTTAGAGATCTTGGTCAAAACAAGAAAATCTATTTCTTTTTTCTGTAGGAAAACTTCTGAAATTTCAGAGGAAACCTGCCTGTACTAATCTGTCCAAAACAGCTACATGCACATTTGGAAATCAGTCTTGTTTTTTAAAGATGAGGCATTACCAGTTTGGATTTGTTCCACAAATCTGGCAAAGACATAAAGGAAAAAGAGTCATACTGAGATACTTCGTTTATTGTAATTAAAGAAACATTAGTGTAACCTCCAAGTGTAAGAAGATATCTGAAAACTGAGTCTCTGTGAAGACAAATTCTCCTGAAAACTTATTTTCCAGATCCTTGAAATTAAGCATTTCCTTCTTTTTATCTTCAACATAATTTAGAAGTGTGAGGGGAGAAGGGGTGGGAGTGGGCTGGTTTTGGCAGGACTCGGTTAATTTATTTTTTTAGTATCAATAAATTGAGGCTTCATGAGATAGAATGAAGGAAAATGAGAGACACTGATTAAAAAAAAACCCAACAATTTCAGGTCTGCAAGAACTGAGATAAAATAGGGCCAACAGTATCCAAATACTGGTTTATTCTGCTTTTTTCATTAGTCTAGTGTTTTATAGTATTGAATATTTATTTGACCACATGCCTTTTATGTTACTACTCATTTAAAATGAAGATGGCAGAACTCAGGTAAAAATGATAATATGAAGCCAAAATAAGCTAAGAAAATTAAATAAGTTTTTAAGATCAAAGTTGTTGTTCTGAGGATTTTCTCTTACCTACTTAAAAACACTTACAGAATTTAGTCTTACTTAATAAGGGGTTTTCCTTGTTTTTTTATTAATATTATAAACTTTGTGCAAAACTTTCACTTTGAACTTTTTCAACCTATTAGAATAATTATGTAAGAAGGGATCTCTGTAGGTCATGTGAACCAATCTTCTGAGGAAAGCAAGTCTGGCTTCTGGGTCATGTTTCTCAGGCCCTCATCCAATAGAGATTCAAAAGTGTCCAAAGATGGGAATCCCACAATCCATCTGGGAACCTGTTCCAAGGCTTAACTACTCTCACCGTGAAGAATATTTTGCTTTACCCACTTGGAGTTTCTTCTCTTGCCACTTGTGACCTCTGCTTTGTGTTCTACCAGTGTAAACCTCTGGGAGGAGTTTGAGTCCATCTCTAATGATCCATTGCAGAAGGTGGTGAATGGGTATGTGTTAGGCTTTCTCTCATCTGGGTGGCTTCTTGTGCATGACATGCTGTCACCATCCACTTGTAGCGGGGTGTCGTGATGGTTCGTTAGCCAATCCCAAAGTGCAAAAAACAAACAGCAGGGGACTATCAGTTTAATCACAACAAATGCACCTT